CTAGATACTGTCTAGGGCAGCTGAGATAACCCATTTTAGAAAGAAACATTATTCATGAATTATACGTTTTCAAAGACAGCAATCTGAGATGTAGCAATTCACTTAAGAAATCCTTCGTTATTTCCACCATCAAACCTTCGAATCTACAACCTCGTGCACGCAAAAATGAAATTTATATAAAGACTTTAGATTTGCGAGATGTTGAAGTAGTGTATTGCGCAATTTTCTGTCAAGAAAAAACAAAATCTTCGTACGTCCATAACACCAAAGATTCACAAGGGTTTTTGACATAAATCAGAATTTTTAGCTGTATCCAAATTTTAACTTTGGGAATTTTATCCAGAGAATAACTTAACCAATCCACCTTATCTTGGGACACAGGAGATCAGAAGTACAGGCTGGAATATCAAATTAGAAATTCACGTGGCTTGATATAATTGAGGTCCGTGTAGTTCAACCACTCATTTGGACCAAAGCTATACACTTTTTGCCTTCTATCTCATGTCTATCATGCTTTTTACTTTTTGTCGCACATCTCTCTTCACTTTGTTTATGTTTATACGATTCCGCTTTTATTACATATACTATTGTTGCGTTATTGGCTTGGTACAATGCATTGACAACAAGGCTGAGAGCGCTATTTAGCAGATATTATCTATTTGTCTGTCAACAAAAAGTAAAAAAAAATTGGAAGGGGGTGCTGCACTACATCTTACTCTTTCAACTAAGCTAATTCTTTTTTACCTTTCTATTCTCCCTGGAATTTCTTGCGGACATGAATCTTGCCAAACCATGGAGTCTCGCTCACTTATTCACATTCTCATGAACTGTATCCCAGTATAGCTTTCCGAAAATTATTTTAGCAATGATTTATTCTAAGCTTTAGCTTTCTTCTTGTAAGAGATATTGCGTAAGCTGTACGCGTTCTTGAAAAAGTTTTTTTTCTGTTTTTTGAAATAATTTAGTTATAAATAAGATATACATTTTGCCCGAAAGTTTTAGAAAGCATCTCACTCACTTCCTTGTGCACCTCATGTCGTTATTTCAGGATTAGGCCGTAGTTGTCGTAATGGATAGACACTGGTTATGGATATTACTCTTAGGATTATCACTAGCAGTCACACTGGCATCGGAATGTGAGGTAAGGTGGTCAGCCTCAGCACTATGGAATTTCAACCATCTTTGAAAATGGATTTATTCTGAACAAATGATAACCTAACAATACATTCAAAGTTTCTTGCGCATTTCTTAACTTTTACAATAAGGATTTGAACTATGAATAGCAAGACATGGATATACTAATCTCTAAGGTTTAGCAAAATGCTACAATTTCGGAAGTTTTAGTGTAGTGTTCATTCAGTCAGAGGAAGAAGAAGAGCCGCTTACTCGATATCCAATAGCTCTGTTCAAATGGAAAGAAGTAA